GTGCGCGAGCTGGTTACCGGGAAGGATGGTGCGTAGCGCTGAGTCGCCAGACAGCATCACCTGTCGTCGCTCGTTAGCGTCATCATAAATAATTTTAGCAGTTTTAGCATTTCGAAATCTATGCAAATTTATGACAACTCACATCGGGTGCTGGGATCTGGACGGACACGGCGTTTCCTTGTTGTTTGGCCGTGTGGCAGTGCAGTGATAACGAAATGACCATAATGGCCATTAGGTGCATTTGTTTTTGTTGTTATTCTTGTTGTTGTTGTTGTTGTTGCTTACGTTGCATGTGCATGTTATTGCAGCTGCCCGCTGTGCCACGAAATGCATTCAACTCTTATATATATGTATCTCTTTCGAGCTCCAAAATAAAAATATATATATATGTATATACAAAAATAATTGTAAATCGTTAGATTTATGGCCAAAAACACAGCCACGAATTATGACGCCGGTCACAGGTGGAAATCGCATGCTGATTTCTACTTGATTTGCTTGCCATATAATTGCAAATTGTATTTGTTTAAACACGTTCACATGCACCGGCAAGCGTTTCTGTGTGTGTGTGTGTGTATAGGTTGCTTTTGGCTCTCAGCTTGGCATACACGAAATTGGCATCAAGCCAGCGCACGTCGCGTGTTGTTTATATGTTCAGCATGTTGTTATTGTTGTTGTAGTTGTTGTGGCTCAGGCGCTGCACGCCCACGTAAACACTCGACTATTGTATGGAGCATAAAGAGAAGTTTTGTGATTGCCCATTGGAATAGCTTTGAATGATGGCTTGACGTGTCTTTTTGGCATCATCCATTGCGCCCGTCAAGTGTGTGCGTGTGCTCACAAATTATTATTATATTTTTATTATTTCTTGATATTTTTTTGGCTTTGTAATGAAATAATTAAATGGACAAGCAATCTGCTTAATATCATAGTCAAGGCTTTTTCAAGTCCAAATAGTCCAGCTTCTGCTTAAGGATATGATATATCCTTGATATATGATATATTTATGGTTCTGAAAACTGAAGAGACTTCAAATTATGATTGGCCAGTTGCCGCTAATGAACTGCAGCTGCATTTTCTGGCGATCAATGTCTTGTGCTACGTGTTTATAGCGGGCATCCAATTTCGCTGGACATCTCTTGGTGTAGACCTCGGGCATATTGCCACGTGCGTGCTCCATTTCTGGTTGGCCAAAAGGTGCCAATGTGGCAAATGTTGTGCGCTTAACATTTTTATGACCACCATAAGTCGTCTTAGAATGTGGTAAATGTGTGCGACTGGAAGAGCCAGTTTACCAGTTGGCTGCCGGGAGCCAGGAGCTGCGTTTCGAACAGATTCTAGTCTGGCACTGACACTTGAGGTATCGGTTTCATTAGCGAAATGTTTCCGTAAGAATGGCAAAAGGTCGCAATTGATGCCATTTACAAGGCGATGGCCATAAGGGTACCACTTGCACGGAATCACAGTGGCAGTGGCTGCGGCTGCAGTGGCAGTGGCAGTGGCAGTATGGGAGCCATTATAATTTGTATTGAATTTCGTTTGTGTTATCGCGAACGTTGGCATTGCAGGTGATTTGTATTTGGTCGGAAAGTGCAGCGTGAAACTCAATAAATTTATCAAATTGAAAAATGTTCAATCGAAATCAAATCAAAGCCAATCCAGTCAGCCAGTCTGCCAGTCCTGGCCAGCGACAACTGCAGCAAAATAAATATATAAATAAGCTTTATGCATAAAGCTAAGTGTTTATTTTCATGGAATTGGGAAAACAATTCGTAAAGCGCTTTGCAATCAACGACTGGCCCCACCTAACCCTGTCGCGGTTAGGGTATACAAACGACTTGCGACAAAATGACGAAATTTATGTTTCATTTTTGTTGCTGCAAAGTGCAGTCGCATTGCTCTAACAGCCAATAGGGGCTGTGCACTGGGGCGTGGCACACTGCCGTACGGTGCGGCACGGGGGCATGCTGCTGTCAGCAACAAATGCAAAGCGCCAAAAACTGCGACACTTTGTATAAATTGTGTCGAAAAACGGCAGCGGGCATCGCGTCGCGTCCCGTCGCGTCCCGTCGCGTCCCGTCGCGTCCAAGTTGAACCAGCTCGAACACCAACGCTGGCAGGGACAGCTAGAGCCAACTGTCTGCCAAGACAATTTGTTGGTCCGTCGCATTGTCGGCCGCTTGGTTAGCTGCCTGCCTGGCTGGCCTGCCACACCCCCTAGGGCAAATGCAACAAATTATTGTCATCAATTTTTAGATGCAAAGCTCGAGGAGTGACATTTATTGAAGCGTGGCTGAACGTTGCGGCCGGCGGCCCAGCGGCCAGCGATCAGCGTTCAGGCCAGGATGCAGCCGGACGTGATTGCTCACATTGCTCCACATTGTAGGCGACTGGCTGGCTAGCTGGCTGGCTGGTAACGTTAATGTTGATTATAGTGTGCCACAGCCTGGCCAGTCTGAGACTGCCGTCTAGGAATGACACGTTTTGTCGCTGATTGCTAGGAAACGATGGCAACAATGGCTATAGCAATGATGCGAACGAGCAACAAGTGGCCATCGGGCGGCCACTTAAATTAGCACCGCGCTTCAGTTTTCAGTTTCATGGCGGCGGCAGCTGCTTCATTAGCTAGCTAGCCGAATTGCCGAAAAAGTAAAAGCCAAAAATTATGACCATATTTGTGGTAAATTATGAGACCCTTTCATAAATCAGCACTGGGGGGCAGCTGCAACAGCCTCGACGACCTAGCGAAATAGGCTGCGTCCACCGTTTTGACTTTGTTTAAGACGTGGCTAACAGAAGGACTACTTAAAGGCCAAACACTCCAAAATAGTCCATGGAAATTTACATTGTGCCGCGGCGCGAGCGCTGGACAATCGCCAGTGCTTGACTTGCTTTAAACTGTGCCATTTATCATACATATAGCGACCGATATGTGTATACACATTTTGTCAGTCCGCATTTGGCCTTTTGCTATTTTCACCATTTCTTTCGCTTTTCAATATGCCAGCCCCAACTGCTGACCGACAACAATTCCATTGTTGTTAGGTGCACGGCTACTCCATAAAGGCTACCGTTTTGTGGAACGCGTTGTTTCTGCGCCACTTATTCAGCGACCGAGCCGTGTGGCAGCATCGAGTGGGGCGGCTGGTGGTACTGCATTTGGCCTGAGCATGTCTTGTGGCCTCTAACAATAACAGCGACAATGACTGGACAACCGACTTACCAGATTAGAGCTACTAACAAACTCAAATATGACACTCGAAAGAAACAGTGCTGAGCTGGGAGAATGGTTTTCGGTTTCAGGAGAGGCTACTGTTGCTATTGCCTTCCGCCTCGACATCCAGAAACAGTTCGTTTTAAAGAAACCATTAGAAATGATCAGGTAAAAAGTAGTTTTCTATATATAAGTATCAAGTTACAAAACTGTGCTGAGAGGTAACGCCAAATTTCACCTGTAAATTTTCCTCTGGTATGCCTGACAGAATTACATTTTTTAAATGTTTATTATGATGATGATAATAGTATTATATAGCAATAATATTAATATTTGGAATTGTTTTTGATTAAGTGCTTGTAGTCTAAAATACTTCAGACCATCATCATTTTAAAAAATATTCTCTGAATGCACTTATGAACTTTGAGGAAGCCAACAAATTGTCGTCGTAGCCGCAACTGATGCCAATTAAAGACTCCATGTGACCCCCAGCCCAAGTTGGGCTGTCATGCGGTGGTAGGCTTTCCATTCTGCCACTGTTTTTTTTTTCTTTTTGTGTGTTGTGCCTGGCTTTGTGATATGTGCAGCTAATTGACCGACAACAGCGGCCTCAGATGCTGCACTTCATCATAAAAAAGAGTGAGACCTACTCGAGTGGCGCGGCATTACGTCAACGTCAACTCAATTTGGCGGTTAACAAGCATGGGACACAGTCGAAGATGGAGTCCGAGCCCGAGTCCGAGTCTGAGTCTGAGCTGGAGCCAGCGCGGGTCAAGTGCTGACGCATCTGCCAAATCGAGTGAAGTGCACCAAAACTGTAGTAACCAAAATAAAAAATGCTTGAAAAATAATGAGAGTTGTGGCTGTTGTTGTTGTGCTGCTCTTGCTGTAGCTGGCAGCATCATTAAGAGTGATCATCTGTCAGGCAGCTTGAAACATGAAACATGAACGAGATCTTTGCCTCATTTAAGTTTTTCTTTTGGATTTGGTTTCGTCTGTTGCGTTGCTTTGCGACAGCTCATTACGATTATATCCATATTTCCATTTCAAAAACTTGAGCTTGTGAAATTTTCAATTAAATAAGTGGACTCTAGCTGTCAGTACCAAATATTGTACAGCAGACCTTATTGATCGTTTGATAAAAATACATATATCCAAAACGCATCGGAAAAATACTTAATTTGAAAATATTTATTCTTCATCGAGTTCTTCAGCTGAGCTGCTGTGAAACGTTTTATATTGAAATCCATAACATTCGCTATACAACGCAGTTACTCTTACTTTTAATAGTTCCCGATTGCATGTTTTTCTTTTTCTATAGAAAGAAGCTTTTTTTCCGGTTAGAGTCTTTTTGTTGATTTAAAGTCTCTTTGTTGATTTCCCATAATTTAGATTATCCGGCTGTCATATAAGAAGTAAGAAGTGAAACTTTTGGCACGCAGAAGGATGAATACTCTTCGGATTGTTCGCACCTTCACTAATTTGTCTCCTTCAGTGAAATCGCATTGAATCTTGTTTTTTATTTCTTGTATCTGAAATCTAATATCTAGTATGCAGATATTTTTGAATTGAATATATATTTATATAGAATTTATGGAGTCGGAGATGTTTCCGTCTATGCGTTACACATTTTCCGGTTAAACTGTTATATACTTTGCAAGAGTATAACAATTGGTTTTAATTTTATTAGGTTTCACAGCTGTGTTTTGCAGTCGCACAAGTAACATTAGTCTATAAAAAAGTCTATAAAAATGGAAATGCGCGCTGTGGTTTTATTTTATTTCCCATTCAGAGCTTGAAATCGACATGTCCTTGAATAATCAGTTATTCGCCTTACTGCTAATATCGCTTTTTTTTCCATACGGCAGCTTGGTATCAAAACCTGCCGAACTGGGCGCCTATTGTAAAACTTCACGCTGCGGCCTTAAGAACTTGGCATGCAGGAATTCAAGAGTAAGTTTAGGAATAATGTGAATCATATTGGTAATTTTGGTTTTCATATAGAACTTGAGCATAACTTGCGCGCCTGGCTCTAAGGTGGTTAGCTTGTCACCCTACAGAGAGCATCTGTTGCATCAGTTCAACAGTTTTCGCAATAAAGTAGCCGCTGGCTATACGCGCACATTGTTTCCAGCCGGACGAATGGCCCGTATGGCATGGTCTACAGAGCTGGAAAACTTTGCGAAAATGTATATTAAGAAATGCGTTTTTAATCCGCGACCCTGCATGGCCTCGGTACAGTTTACAGCCATTGGCAGCATATACGATGGGCTCTCCTACTCGGGTAGCCAAAAATCGCATAAAATTCCTGAAATCACGGAGGAGTTGCTAAATGGATGGTTTGAAGATGCACGTTTTGTGACAAGGGAATTGTCGCTGCGTTTGAGAAACGAATTTACTCGACCGTTAGTAATAGACCGATAATGCCATAGGCTTACTATTAATATTTCCAACCCTTTCATAGAACTGTACGTCAAGCCGTGTTGCTAATGGCGGACCGCAACACACATGTAGGCTGCAGTGCATTGAGATTGTCAAATGGCATGGTCAATCAGTTTTTTATAGCCTGCACCTTTGCCACCGACAACATATTGAATAAGCCCATATACAAGGTAAGGGCTACGGCCGGCAGTCTGTGCAAACAACGCGACAGTACTTATAAGAATCTGTGCGCACTTGGTGAAGTTTACAATAACCAGCGCGAATACAAGCCTGGCGAGCTGCTCCCATCTTCCTCGGAGCTCTTTTCAGAGGTTGAGATGTAACGAGCAAGTCCAATTAAATAAAATGCTTTTAGAATTATTACGATTCCCACTGGGTTTTTCTAATGTGCAAGGTTCGTGCAGCTTTTTAGGGTAGGTATAAAAGGAGCTGCGGCGCGGTTCGTGCCTAGCAATCGTCAATAGTAGCTGGCTAAAATATGAGGCAGTTGCTTCTTTGGTTCAGCTTGTGGTTGTCACTGGGCGCTAAAATAATTCTCACTGTTCCGGAGCTGGTGCAGCAGTTGCAAGTACAGCAACGTTTTGACTATGCGCTGCTCGTTGGAAGCTCTAGTTCCGATTGGCCACAATTGGTGTGGAAGCTGCCCTTGTCCACTATTAAGATTAAAGATAAATTGAACATCAGCTATCATCTAGATAGATATCACTCCAGTCACTTGCTTAGCATTGCATTCGTCGATGAACATGATACAGATGCACTTCTTGAGTTTCTGACTTTGAACTTGAGACTATGGAATACGCAACCCTTACTACTGGTCATCAAAAAAACCGAGCAAGTGCAAGTCCTCTTGAAATGGTGCTGGCAGCAGCTGCAGTTGCTGCATGTTTTTGCAATTCTCGAAGACTTTCAGGTATTTATAACAAATATATTACTATATATCAAGCTTTTACTGAACTGAAGTTTTACTTTTACTATAAATTTTCTGAACAAAGAAATCAATTAATATTAACGACTCGCCTATATCACATTGGACAAAATTGGTTCATGATATTCCAGAGGTAGCATTAGGTAATCAGTAGCTTCTTCAGGTCATGTTCTATGCCTGTGCTTGCAATTCATTGCTTTGGACTTTTTGTTGCATTTATTCCGCTGCAAGTCTCAATACAGTCTTGATAGGTGCTGTAACGATTTGGATTTCCGCCACATCCGCCATAGATGAATGTTTTACATTGATGATCGTACGGATCAAAGGCAAACATTTTGAACTTGCCTTTGCATGGACCGTGGTTGGCCGCAAGTTTGCATTGAACTGAAAATACCTTATTAAGATTTGATTCTAGAATCCAATCATAATACTTGCCTATAGAATTCGGAGCAGCTTGGGCAGCTAAAATGAGACACAGCAAACAGCAAAAAAACAATATTTTTATAGCCATATTTACAATTTATAAATCAAAATGAAGTGTGGCTGAAATATTTACCGAGATGATTAAAAAGTAAAATAACTTGATTAAAATTTTCTCAGCTTGGTTGTTCGTAAAAAAATTGCCAATAGTATGAAATACCCCTTGAAATGGTTTCCCGTATATTTTTAGGATACCGGACTCATGTACAGCTATTCACCTTTTTCAAAATTTCAACTTAAAAAGCGATTGATCACAAACAAGACGAATCCAATTATAATACCACGCCTGCGAAATCTCCGTGGCTATAAACTTCCAGTTATTGTGGGCGGCTCAACTCCACGTCTTATAGTTTATCGTCGTCCAACTGGGGAGCTAGTCTACAGCGGCTACGTGGGCCATTTGATGCACTGCTTCGAACAGAAATACAACTGCAGCTTGATTCAGCCGGTTCCGCTAACCGAGAACACATTGGTGCCAGCACGACAGCTGCTTGGAGCAGTGAGAAATGGCAGCGTCCAGTTTGCATTTGCGGCAACATATCCGGGTATGCCTCTCCAGGGTTACACGTACCCCTTTGAGATCCTTAACTGGTGTATAATGCTGCCCGTTCCTAGTCCAGTTCCGTCCAGTGAGCTCTACAGTCGTGTATTGGATCTGCCCACTTTTCTGATTGTACTTGGATCATTAGGACTGATCTCAGCAATACTTTCATTTACATTGTGGCGTTATGGCTATCGTGTTCAACCGTATGAGTTTTTGCTTCACGATAATTGTCTGAGAGGAGCTTTGGGTCAATCTTTCAATGAGGTTCTACGGGCGCCTTTGCTGGTGCGTGGCATCTATTTGGAGATCTGTGTATTGGGATTCTTGCTCACCGCCTGGTACAACTCGTATTTCTCAGCGTATATCACTAGCTCTCCTAAACAGAAGCCATTCACGAGCTTTGATAGCATATTGAACTCGGATCTAAAGGTGGTTATCTGGGCTTCTGAGTATCAAACGCTGCTCAGTTACGATAGGCAGATTCGAAAGTATGAGGCCATATTTAAGATCGAGCCGGACTTTGAGAAATATCTAAAGATGCGCGACTCGTTCAATACCCTGTATGGATATGCGATGCCTATGCAGAAGTGGAACATTATAAAGCAACAGCAAATGGTTTTTAGCTCAATTTTGTTTACCATGCGCGAGGACCTTTGCTTTTATCAAGGCGTCCCAATTATGTTTCCCATTGCTGAGAACTCTGTTTTCAGGGAGCCACTGGAGCGGTTGATAGGTGAGGTGACTGCCAGTGGCCTCATGGTTCATTGGCGTGACATGGCATTTAGTGAAATGATTAAAGCTGGTAAATTGCGTTTGGTCGATCTGGGGAAACCAAAGGAGTTCCGTGCCATGCAGTTGATGGACTTGAACTACATTCTAATGGCTGGTGGATTGATGATGACCCTGGCACTGGCCGTATTTGGCCTGGAGCAACTATGGTTTCACAAAATGCGATTAAGACGATATTTGCGTGAGGGCTTAAGAATTGCACAACAATTATTTCATTTAAAATAAAAAATTGCTAAGATTAGGGTGCACTACACAGCATTTTATGCTTTCAAATAAAAAATAATTATATTAAGATAATATTACTGACCAGCAAAAACACTGAAATACTAATGTTGGTAAATATTCAAATAAAATTAATTTCACATTTGTTAATAAAAGTAGATGGGGGACTACTAATTTAAAAACAATGTTAATCTTGAATATTCAAGTAGAATTTGGTATCAGTTGTAATAGTGCTGTTAAGGAATTACCCAAAGGAGTTATTCTGCCAACAAAGCAATTATTTATTTATTTATTAATGGTCGACAAAACGAATGTCTTCCTAATTATTCAATACATCACTGTAAAAATTAAATGCTATAAGCCTAGTTAGAAAAAAAAATTTTCTTAAAACATCACCGACCGGTGGAGGTGTTTTATTTGCCCGTCGGCCCAGCTATGCCACTTTTCACACCTAATTTTCCTAATTGATAAACAGATGTTGATACAAAGATTTGCTTGTTAAGCACCAATTCAACTTTATAGGAGTTTCGTCCTCGGAGTATTTTGTGGCTATTGTCTTAAATTATCATTTCAACAGATGAATAGGTTGTTCTGTTCTTTTGGGCATTATCAAAAAACAAGATCATTTAAATAATGTGACCGATAAGCTTATAACAGACCCAACTGACACATGCGAGCTCAAACCCTGCAGATTAAATTTATAATCCTAAAATATTTCTACCAATTTAAAAGACAATATGTTGATATAACTCTTTTGTGTTTAGACTTTAGGGCCAAGGTATATCTGGATAGTGTTAATGTGTATTTATATATGGATGGATACATGGAATCGGATTTATATGAGTTGATCGATTGCCTCTTCTTAATTGTTGTTTCAAATCAGCGATAGCTTGCGTTTGTGTGTTCTTGTTTTTGCTAAAAGAAGGTTTAGAGTAACTCCTGGTCGGGACCTCCCGTCTTGAGCACCCTGACTTGATTCCTCATAATTTTATTTTGACAAAAAAAACAATTTTTCTCTAAATTTCCATATATTTAATATTTCTGTATTGTTCTTGAATATTTATTATTTCAGTTCAGGCTCGCAAAATTAAAGCAGCTCACAGGTTACAAATTTACCAAAAACATTGTTAGATTAGACAGTTGACTTATAATGCCACTTATTCTTAAATCACTTATTGGTGGGCTAAAATACAATTAAGCATTCAAAATAAATTATGCCATCATGGCACCTATTAACTAGGGCACTGTCATCAAGCACTTCGTAGTAAATTGATATATGAATTTTGAGCAGCATTTCGCTGTAACCTCTTGGGTGTAGTTTTTGTGCGGCGCTTGTTAGCCGCTAATTTGAGTTTTTTACATGCCTCCGCAACGCATTCATTAGCAACCCTTTTAAAAAGCAGCGCCATTAATCAGTGTCCTGCAGTAATTCGTCAATGTCCGCCATGGATTGTCCTTGGTTTATTTGGTGCCATTTGCTTTGGATGGTCAGGCTAACAGTTGAGGCAGATAGCTCGGCAGTTTTTCAACTGTTAAGCAGCATTAAAAATCAAGATAATTTCAATTATTTGTTGTTTATGAAATATCACAATTCCCGTGTGTCCGAAAAGTTTCTGATGGATCAACCAGACGGTAATTGTTTTGTGAAAAGCTTAATGGAAAGTCTGCAAACGCCTGTTGTGCAACTCGATGAGCACGCCAATAATTTTCTGTATGAAAAACATAGCAGTCTAGTGCTGTCTGTGGTATATTTGATCGGCATGGACTTAGACGAGAACGAGAGTTTGCTAAATGCACTGGTTGCCAACCTGCGACTCATGACCATATCGCGGGTGGTGTTTATGGTGCAGCTCGGAGAAACCAATGAGACGTTTCTGGACAAATTGTTTACTTATTGCTGGAAAATGAAACTACTGAATGTGTTGGCAGTATTTGAGAGCTATAACGTAAATAAGAAATTACACAGAAATCAATTTGGCATATTAATTGTCGTATTCTACGTTCCAGACTACGAACACCTTCTATAGCTATACGCAATTTCCCAGTTATCAATTGGAGCAACGTGTATATGATCCCAGCGCGACCATCTTTCCTGATCGTCTGAGAAATCTACACGGCTATAGTGTGCGCATTATAATTGGTGGCGCGACTCCGCGCATCATTCTCTACTATAATAAACAGGGCGATATAATCTATCGGGGCACATTGGGCCACTTTATGGATGTCTTTCAGCAAAAATTCAATTGCACTTTAACGCAGCCGTTTCCAGTCAAGCCGAATATGTTAGTTCCTTCAACGGAACTAGTGGCAGCTGTGCGCAATGGCACCGTGGACCTATCATTGGCGATTACATTTCCTGACCAGCTCAATATGCGACCTTTTACTTATCCGTACGAGCAAATGAATTGGTGCCTCATGCTACCCGTGGAAGCGGATATACCACACGCCGAGTATTATGTCAATGTCTTTGAGCTGCAGGCATTTTTGCTAACTGTGGCCGTCTTGGTGGTAATTTCCATCACACTTTCGTCGATTCTGAAGCACCACGGGTACTCGGTGCAGCTGTACGAGTTTATACTGCATGATAATTGCTTGAGAGGAGCTCTGGGACAGTCTTTTTATGAGGTACGTCGCGCTTCGGTACACCTGCGCGCCATCTACGTGCAGATATGTTTACTGGGTTTTCTGCTTACGGCCTGGTATAACTCTTACTTCTCGGCTTATGTGACCAGTACGCCCAAGGAGCCACCCTATCGAACCTACGATGATATACTGGCCTCCAATCTGAAAGTGGCCGCCTGGGAGTCGGAGTATAACGAGCTCATTGGACGCTTAAAGGAGTTCCGGAAGTACGCACCAATGTTTCTGGTAGAGCCTAGTTTTAGTAAATTTATTCGCATGCGAGACACGTTTGACACTAAACATGGCTTCATGATGACATCCAGCAAGTGGGTGGTTATTAACGAGCAACAGAACATCTTCAGTGAGCCACTGTTTCGCATGCGCAATGATTTTTGCTTCTTCAATAATATTCCCCTTGGTTTTCCGGTGCACGAAAATTCGATTTATAAGAAGCCCATACAAAGGCTAATTATGGAACTTGCCGATTCTGGCTTAACATCTTATTGGACTTCAAAGGGATTTTCGGAGCTTGTAGAAGCTGGCGAACTGCATTACTTGGACCATAGTATGCGCAGAGAGTTTCGTGCCATGCAACTAAAGGATTTGCAATATGTTTGGTATGGCTTTGCTTTTATGTTATTATTTTCTATAGCAGTTTGGCTGCTCGAACTGTTCTTGAATTGGCTAAAACGCCGACGCCAACGCAGGCATAAACCCTCTCAGTATTAGCTATAATCTGTCTAATTTAATCTAGCATTTGTAAGGCCTTACTACACCAATAACTTTCATATGTTTGTTTTTGATTAGGTGGGCACTTCTGTGCATTTTAATTACTTTTCAATTTTATATTCAATGCGCAGCATTACAGACTATTAATTTGTCAAAAGATTGTGCAGGGTCTGCATATTTGTGTACCCTGCTCACCTGCTCCTGGGGTTCGGTGTGCAAATGTGCTTTGGCTCAAAGTTCATCAAATGCAATTAAGATGCTTGTTCATTGTGGCTGCGGTTTCAGGTCCCCCAAGGTGCCACGAAGACGACGGCTTGGATGATATGAGCCACCTGCGCCAGTAACTGGCGCCTCTTGAAATTCCCTAATCGACATGTTTCGATCTCAAATGACTTGCCGCTCACTACGCCACACGGTGAGGCAGACGTTGCCGTTGCAGTTGCCCGATCTGGCCAAGACGCTGCGAGTAAAACATTTTCTCTAATCTGCACTGATGTTTGCTGGCTGTTGGCGCATGCGGCACGCATTTGCAGCCCCTTGCCCCACAATACCGCAAGGCTGCGGCACAACCCGCTGATGATGCTGTTAATGCAGCAGTAGCTGCGCACTTTGATTTTGACTGACAAGTGCCGCCTGTGTAATGTTGCAGCCGTTGTAGCTGTTGTTGTTGTTGTTGTTGACATGCGCAGCTGCATGCGCTTTCATGCGCTTGCTTTATGGGAGAAAATTATTTATATGCCCCTGATGATCTTTGTCCAGGTACAGGTCTGTAAAACTAATTAACACAATGCCAACACTCAGTTACTAACAATGAGTCCAAGGCTTTGATGTGTTTGCTTTTCGGTTTGACCATGAATTAGATATATTTCGTTTAATTGTCAATAAAACTTTTTATTCTTCTTTATTTTGATGTTTAATGCTCGCAATACTTAAATATTTAATGTAAGACTTAATTGCTAATGGGTAGCTGGTTTTTTTTTGATTTTTTTTTCGTCTTTTTGTTTGCATAAATAATAACTAACAAACATTTAACTACAATTGTAATTTTATTGCGCCTAAAACTATGCGCTATATATGTGTATAAACAAGGGCTTAAATTCAAAAAATTATTATGTACATAAACTAAATTCAATAAATTAGAAAATATTGCAAAATTCACAGTAAGTATATATAACAATATATGTAACGCAACCCAAACACCAGAAAATACATATTTTTTTATTAAAACTATCACATAATAATTGGCAGTTTAATTAACATTAACTATCCATAGTTATTCAATTTGTTTTACTTAGCTTACAATTAGATATAAAATTAGCCCATTTTATTTATAGTACATACAATTTGCGATTCACACAGCGGCGAGTGTAAGAAGATGAGTACTATGAAAATTGAAATAGTTATCAAGTTATCAAATAAACGAATTCTATATAAAATACAAAAAAATAATGGCAAGTGCAATGCGTTCAAGCATTTTATGATCTGTAAGTAGTTGACACACGTGGATAACTTGAACACTTCTCAGATTTGCGAAAACGTGAGTATTATTTGTGAGGAAAAAAAACACGAGTTGAATATGTTACTTGTGCCTGGAATGAGAGATCCTTGAAGAGAAGACATTGTTTGATACATAAATTCGTATTTCTCAGGCGTTATTATATGCCAAAAGGACTTTTTGATTTATCATAAAGAACTTGTACTAATTTTAATGAAGTGTTCAAAATTGTTCGCGTTGCTGGCTTTCTCTTAAATTAGGTCGTATTTACACTGAGGAAACTTATGATAATTTGGGCAAAGCAACTCTAACGAAATACTTTTAATTTACAGGAAACGCTTCTCAAAATACATTATTATTGTTTTAATATTATTAATTTATTTAACGTAATTAATTATAGAAACAATGTGGGTGAGTTCATAGATTTTATTTGTTGCAAGGAAGCGTTTGGCCTCATTTTGATATCACCACTCGTAAATTTGCTTATTAGCTTCATTTTAACTTTTTTATTTTTATAATTAATTAATTATTATTTAAAATTGCTTGTTATTTTATCTTGCTTTAAATTTGGCACATTTAAAATTAATTTGTGTGTGTGTGTGTTTATGAGCGTGTGTGTGTTTTAGGTATAAAATAAAATTGAGTATTTTATTTGGAAGTGCATTTAGTGAGTTTGTGATTTTGTCTTGATGTGTTTGTGATATAGGAATTGCACAGAAAGCTGAGATAGGAATTCATCAATGAAAATTTTTCGATCAGGAAAGATCATTTTCTAGGAAGTAATTTCCCAAGAGTATTCAAGTAGTTATCTTAGTTTTTCATTTTGTTTTGTATGCAGTTAGTAAGGAACAAGAAATAGTTTGCTGTTTTGTGTTTTGTGGAACATAGCCTATACATATAAAAGCCAAGGTCGGCACACTACCGGTTCGCCAGCAGACCATTGGCAGGCGGTAATACGCCAGGCGGCGTATTTGGCCCACTCAGCACGACGCCGGCGCTCATTAAACTGGGGTTGGCCACCGTGGTGGCCACCGCGCTGAGCTGTCGCTGTTGGACAAGGCTTGCACCGCTGTTAGCTGCATTGGAACCACCACGCTGATGCTTGGCGGAACTGCCTTTGATCAGGTTGCCATTGTTCTTCTGGGTCATGTGTGTCTGATAGTGTTTGGCCAGGTGTGCCTTTTGCCTGAAGCTTTTGCCACACAGCGAGCACGCAAAGGGCTTCTCGCCCGTGTGCGTGCGTATGTGCACATTCACTGAGTATTTGTCCTTGAAGCCTTTGGAGCATATGGAGCAATAGTGTAGTGAACGTTCCTTGCGCTGCCCACCGCCACTGCTGGCCGAACTACCGCTCGCATTGCAGTTGGCAGGCGGACTATTGCTGCTGCTGCTGGCGCTGCCGCTTGACGAGGAGCTGCCACCATTGCCAATGACGACACCCAGAACGTTGCTGCTGTTGTTGTTGCTGTTATTGTTGTTGGCCACATTAGGATTGTTGTTGTTATTGTTATTGTTGCTGTTTGAGCTGTTGGCGCTACTGTTGCTACGCTTGTATTGCTTCTTGGGCTTGCTAACGCCACCAAGGCGACTGCCTGCCACAGATGTGCCCACAGCTGTAGCTGATGTCGATGTGGACACCTCTGGCTTGAGGGGCTGTGGGGGCGGTGGCGGTTGCTGTTGCTGTTGCGCATTGGCCAGGGGCTGTAGCTGTGTTGTGGTTGCTCCTGTCGCGCTCGGCGACATCTGCATGAGCACATCGTTGCTGGTATAGTCTCCAGGCGTTGGTGTGCCCGTGTTGGCACTGCAGAACTGCTGCACCTCATTGGCAATGCGCTTGATTTTCTCAAAGTCATCGCTAAAAGCATTCTCCAGCGACAGGAACATATCATCGACAATGATGCTGGCATTGCCACCATGCTGGCCGTGATTCGACGAGGACATGTGCGTACCGCTGGCTGCATGACTCATGGCCTGTGCATCCTCGAACATTTGCGCGGTATTCAGCGTTGAGTCCGCAAAGCCCAAAGCATCCGCTGCGTCATCTGGCGTAAAGAGTAGCCTCCGCATTTCATCATCCTTGACCACAGGCAATGTTAGACCATTCTGCATATGCAGACCCTTGGCGTAGCCCTTGCCCTGAAGAGCGCTGCGCAGCAGCGATTCCGCAGAGTTCTGTTCCGCCTCCGCGTTGTGATCGGCCATGTGCCAGTCGTTGTTGTTATTCTGAAACTGTGCCAGCTGTTGGCCCAGCTCGTTGACCCCGCCACCTGCTATGGAAATAGCAGTTACCAGTGAGGGTAGCGTCTGTCCGTGTGGCTGGGACTGGGAAATACTGCTGAGGCCATTGACATCTGCACCACTGACAATAACATCCTTGCCATCCGTGCTGAAGCCGCTGTCATCGTAAGGATATTCTGATTTGATATAGCCTGGAAAGCTGCCAAGCAAACTGTCCAAATCCAGTGCGCTGGGCAGTTGCTCCGTCTCGGCACGCTTTAGCCAAGGCTCGCCACCATTTAATACTGTCAATGTGTAAATCTGGCCGTCAGTTGTGTCCAGGCTGCTAATGGTATCGCTGCTGCTGCCCGCAGCACTAGAGGAGCTGCTGGCATTGGGCTGTTGTTGTTGTTGCTGTTGCTGTTGCTGTTGCTGTTGCTGTTGCTGTTGCTGCTGCTGCTGCTGATGTGGATGTGAATGTGGATGTGGATGCGATTGCGGAGATGTGGGACTTGGCTGGTTAGTACATCGCACATTGCTGGCGTTAACGGTGGTCGTAGCGCTGGCTGTGATCGGCTGCTGCTGCCAGCAGTATCGATCGAGGTCTTCGAAGATAGAGCTGGAGTCAAGGCGGCTGTTATCCTTGTCCTGATGCCAGAACTGCAAAACGAAAATAAAAGAACATAGAACAATATATTATTAAATAAATATTATGGCTCTAGCACAGAGGCGCAAAATTCTGATTCAACTTGTTTGCCATAAAAACTTACCTCATAGCCCTGTAACGTGGGATCGCCGCCATTGCTGGTGCTGCCATTACGATTGCTCACTGGAATGCCGCCGCCGGCGCCCTCGCCGCCGTCGTGTGTCATGCTGCTTGCGGTTCTTGCGCCGCCGCCGCAGATGGCCTGCTGGGGCGTTTGTGATGTCGTTGGCTGATGACCTTGGCTATGGTTGTGACTATTGTGCTGTTGTGTGTGCTGCTGCTGATGGTGCTGCTGCTGCAGGCTAACGCCCACCCCCACATCCACCCCAACACCGATGCCAATGCCCATGTCCGGAGCTGTGACGAAATCGAAGAAATCCGTTTTTGAGAGATCCTCGGTACGAAAGGATTCACTTATATCCATGCCAGTCGATGTGGACATATCCTCAGTGCCAATCATTTGTTGCGCGTGTATTTCCAGTTCGTAAAATCTTTTATTCAGTGCTGGCCAATATGTGGATTTTTTAGTGTTAATAAACTGTAATTTTTAAAAGAAGGTAAAAAATACTTTTTATACTTTTATTCATATAATTGAATTTTAATGTAACTACAAGATTAGTATGGCCAAAAGTAGTTGAATAAAACCCGATCTGAGTGGGGATTTTTTTTTTTCTTTTTTGCAGCACCATCCACTCCGCTGATTAGTAAACAGTTTCCCTCGGACTCTTTGGGGACATGTACATTAATTTATTTAAGCCACTTGTCAGTTGGCTGCATAAGTCAATCACTCATTCATTCGCCCATTTCTTGCACTCAGCTCAGCTCAATTCGCCTTGTCCCACCTCGCCTCACCTTGTGGCTCAGTTCGGTTGGACGTGCATTCCAGCAATACTTGCATTTTAATTTGGCCAGCTACTTTAGCCTTCTCAGTTTTTTGCTGGCTATCTGCAAACAAATAAATCAAACTGACAGAAGGGTGACAAAGTGTAAACACATTTGGCGCGCTCGGCTCGTAAATCTCTTGAAGCCGCACTTGGACTTTGGCTAAAACCAAACCTGACGCTGTGACACGCTGTTTTTGGTTTCATTTGCATAGATTCTGCGAGCCACATAACAAGCCGTCCATTTAGAACAGGCAACGAACCGCTGCCAAAAATATCGCTACGAGTCTGAACTATTGGCTACCCATGGAGCTGGAGGGTGCTGCTGCCTTTGCTGTCTTGATTATAAACCTATTTGGTCAGTTCGAGATCGAGTAATCGATGCCAGGCAGCAATCGAAATCGAATTGACAGCTTGCGTGCAGTTGCTGTTGCTGTTGCAGCGATTGCGATAGGGATTGCGATTTTGATCTGTTGTCCATGTGTTTGCTGTGGCCTGCCTGCTCCGTCAAAGTCGTGCAGCAAGTACTAAATGTTCAAATTGTCAATTTATTTGCTTTTTTTTTTTGATATTTTGCTTTTATTACTATTTTGTTTTTGGGCTTGGACTCTGCATATAGGAAAAATGGACGGCATTTCGAGGCCTGGTGTGGCAGCGTGAGAACCACAAACAGAAATGACTTAACAAATTTGCATACAACACAGAGAGCAAAGAGCTTGGCGTATTCTCTAGCGCATACTTTAGATAAGGGCAAAGCGAAGAGAAAATGCCATGGTATAAATATTTCAGATGCTGTTGCTAGGAACATTTAAGTGCAATCTACGCAGAAATCAACTGAAATGTGAAGCCAGGTCTTTGAAATGCTTATTTAAGACCGCTGCCGCTGCCGCAGCAGCAGCCGCAGCATCAACACCTGATCTCCAAAGACATTAAAGTGCGGCTGCGGCAGCCAAAGACACGACCCATTAGAGCCTGAATGAAAGCAACAACTACAACAGCAACATCAGAAAAAACAGCTTAAAGTACAACAAGTGCAGGCCATTGGCCAAGTCAGAGACCAAGCGATCGGCCAGTCTGCATTTTAGGCTCTCAAAGTGAGCTCGTTTTCAGTGTTTTCCACATCTTATCGCCCGTTCATCTGACCGGCCATAGAAGGCAAAGGCTGCCTCCTGAAATTTCACCAAAAACTTTGCGGCTTGGCTCAAATGCGTAATCATTTGTAGTCATTTGCCTGGCTGGTCGCCTGGCTAGCTGCATGGCTGCTTGGCTACCCGGTTGCCCGGCTGCCCGGCTGCCACTTGGTAGTTTAGTTAATCATGATGTTTAAATTCAAAAATTACTTTATACATATTTTATGGTCCAAAGACAGCGTGCGAGAGAGAAAGAATGAGAGAAATAGAGGGAGAGAATATAATACTTCACTATAAAATTCATAAAAAATATTAAATAAAATAATAAGCTTTTGTTAGAGCGTTTTGGGGGCGCAAATATTGACTAATTTGGCCACGATTATTGTTATTTGACTGTGGCCCAAGCAAAAAGAAAGTTTACAGGCTGCGCAGCCGCGCGCCTGGAACGTGCATATAGTACATCCAGAGATAACTGGCTGATCGGCTGCCTGGCGGCCAATCATGTACGTGCATGTACCCAGCACATGCATCATGAGTCAAGATGAAGATGCATGTGGCCGCGACCTGAGTAAGGCTGCGGCTGTGGCTGCGATTGCAGTTTATTTCACTATGCTGCATAGCAATTGCAATCGTAATCGTAGAAATTGTTAGCGCATTTTGACCAATGCAAACAGCCCGCAGCGGCTTCATTTAAATAACATGATATCATGATAGCTTACCTTAACTCCTTAAAGGGTACATTAACTTTAATGCTAAGTAAACAAATAAAGTATGCTAATAAGGTATTTAACTAAAAATTTTCTCAAATATCGGATATTAGTTAACATAGTTTTTTTTACACCAAAAAATATCTTTACATAAAAACTATAAAGATTACAAATTCAAACAATTATTGTACATTTTTTAATATTATTTTTTTCATTATTTCAAAGAGCGTACTTCATGTTCGATTAGTTGAAATTCGTTTTTGAAGTAACTTGTTTATGTTGCTTTCAATTTTGTTGGATTGCCGAAAGAGGGGCCTATTCGATTATGGGCCATAAATAAAAATGCGCCAATAATTTTTTTAATTAAACGAAATTTTGTCATATTTATTTACACATACAAGTCTGCATCGTGTGCTATTTGACATGCAGTTAAGTCTTGGCTCGGAGGTCTCAGAAAATATATTGTGCTGTGGTCTGGCTTTGTTTGGCATGCAAATTGCCAAGGAAAATTGCCAGGGAAATTTATTGAAGTATGCAAAGAGCACACAGCAACAACAAAAATTATGAAGTTTTCGGCACCATTTCTTTGGTGTGCATGGTCGGGCATGATTAGCATCCCTCCATCTTGCGACCCGCCATAGCGGGCGTCAAATACAAAGAAAAAAAAAAACAAATTAAAATGCGGTAGTCAAAAGCCACCGCCATTGCTGAGATTAGTTTATGTGCAGGAATTTGTATATTGTGGTTACACAATTTTCCTCATCATTGTCCGTCTCCTTACCCTTTTCAGCCGCTCAACAAGCTTGCCTTAAAAATCACACGCCTGAGCTCTTCTGCTTCTGTTGGTTTGATCGCAATTTCTTGTCAAATGATTTAGTTTTTTTTTTGTTTTTTGTGCCTTTGTTGTTGATTTTTTCACGATTTTCCACGCATTTTTAACCTAAATACCGTGCTAAACGATTTTTTAATGTCTTCACTAACAAGTTTCAATTACCAATAGGCAACAGCCATGGCAAAATGCGTACAGATGCCGTTTGCAGACATGTTCAAATGAAAACCAGTCCCCAACCCCAACCCAGCTCAATCAATTAAAATAATTCAACAATTGTAGTGAAATTGCCAAAGAAAGAAAGATAAAGAAGACAATGCGGCAAAAAAAAAAAAAAAACCTGTAGATCCAGACGAGCCACGAGAATTCGTAACAGGCAACAAGTTGACTCACGTAGCGCAATCAAATTGCACTTCGATTGGCTAAAATGGAGCCATCAGTGAAAATATCTTTGGATTTGTATGTGCACTTGTCGATAATAGAATATTTATTGACCTAAGCTAGATTGAGATGAAGGTGGTTGCTTTTGAAAGTGGAAGCTAAGTAAGCACCGCATTTGGTTTCTTCTTTTAGGATCTTTAGCCAGATAACTAAGTACTCCATATATGCATTGAGGTTTTTCTGAGAAGTAATTGAACAAATTCGAAATCTTTCGAGTTATATGAACATTTATTGGTTGTAACTGATTTAAAGTACTTTTCAGCAATTCTGTTAACATTTTGAGAGGCGTATGAAACGTGCAGGTACTAAGCTTAAGGTATAGGTGATATAATTGGGCACATCATTACAAACAAGGAGATATTTATGCTGTAAAATTCTGTGTGCTGTGTATTTAAAAAAATGCCAATTCTACAATGGCCTGTAAGACGCATCATAAGCGAATGGAAGCTCATAAAAACGAATTTATGCAGCTGCAAATGTAGCCATATTTTATTGATTTCTTTTTCTTTTTCGCTCACATTTATTTCTGCAATGCAAATGTTCATCGTTAGCGAAGTGAGACCGCTCTGCACCATGCCATAAGCCAGTCGATGATTTTTCAACCAGATAATTATCGCCCACCGACTGAAAGGCTACTGCCCCAACCGGCCAAATGCGCGTAACGGCCGCAGTTGTGGCTGCTGGTGCTGACCAATTGACCAATAGCCGGACAGGTTGATAAGCGGATGGGACACGGCTGGCAGCTGTTGCAGCGGGCTTATGTTTCAATTGCATGCAAATGCATAATTGAATCGAATGGTCTTGCAGCTATGTTTTCGCCGGCAACTGCAACTGCAGCAGCAGCAGCAACTTTCGAACTGAGGCCCGCCTAATGAAGTAATCAACGGACAGCATCTCAAGCTTTGGCTGGCATTGTCAATCAAAAGAAACGTTTTTATTGGCCTGCGTTACAAACCAAATAGCATCAAGATGTATTAATCATTTCGACCACTGTTGTTGCTTGTTGGCTAGCGTTGGCGGGCGACGCGTTGCGACGCGCTGCGACGCTGACTGCGGCAGTGGCAGTGGCAGTGGCAGTGGCAGTGGTTGTGTGGCAGCGTAGCCGTAGTAGACGCGTCTACAGCGCTTTATCAGAGCGCGCAGATCTTTGGCATAACGAAACGTAAAACGTAAAAAGCCAAATAACTTCAGGCGAGACAAGCATGATTAAAATGCGCAAAAATGGCAAACTCCAAATGGGCGCTGCATGTTGGAAGCACCAAACACAGGCAACAACAAGAGCAACAACAACGATAACAGCAACGCCGTGTGATGTACACGCGGCGCATTTCAATTCCATTTGATTAATGACAAAGCCTTAAAAGCAACTGCGACCGCAGCGGCAAACGAAGATGTTGCTGATTGGCCCGTTGTCCATTGCTGTTGTCAACTGCCAATTGCAGTTGCCGCTGCTGCTGCTGCTGCTGCTGTTG